AAAGGGAAATTTTCCACCCAAGGAAGTGGCAGAACCATTCTCCAAAAAGCACAAATTATTCCTATAATACTAATATCAGACCTGTATATCTCTGATGAGAACTAGAAATTCTTCAGAGAGAGAGGAATTTTTTTACGCAGTCTTCTAACCCATGGTACGGAAATAGAAATTTCACTGCATGAAGTAATTTAAGAATTCACAGTATGGCAGACACTAAATACTAGTGACTAGAATATAATTCAGTTCTCAATCTGAAGAGGAGGTAAGATGCCAAGAAGTGGCTGAGTAATCACTAAACTTCAGAAAAGGAGATTCCAATATTAAGAAAAAGTTAATGGAATAGGTCTGAGTGAAAATAAGTGAAATAAAATCTTCAGGTGTTTCATGGATACTACTTAAAAATTTTATCACTGGGTATTGCAAAGTACTGAACAAAAAGGGGCCCATGAGGGAAAGTCATAAAAAACAGGCCAGCTGAATGTCATTTTTTCTAAGTGAAATAAAAAAAGATATTTCACATTCTAGATGCTGCTGAAAAAAAAAAGGGAAAGCCACAAAGAATGGGCAGTAAGTAAGTAAAGGGGAAGTGGGAATCTCTGAAATTAATTAGAAAAGCAAATAACTAAGGGTATGGAACCAAACGATGTTACTGTCTTCCACTTTATTCAATGCAGGAAGCCTGTGGAAATACTTTGCTGCGTTTTGTGGCACCTTGGGGTTTATCTATAAGTGTATCTCTGTTTTTCACTTCTGGCAGGAAGCACTCTAGTTTATTCTCATCAAGTAAGGACTTGCCAAAGTCAGCACCTTAATCCTTTTTAAACTGGCAGGAAACATTTCCTTGTCCTTTCGTTTTCTAAGCAACTCCCTTGAGCTGTCCTGCACTCACTGCTCTTTACTGACCTATTGCCTTTCTAGAGGTGGACCATAGTATATGTGTTGGTTTGACCTTGATTATTCTAACTCCACTAGCCCAGACAGTCTCAGTAAGAAAACAGAATTGAGGTTATTGTGCAAGTTTTAAAGTCAGGCTTCTGTGTGCAAGGGTAGAACCAAACGCTTAAAAGTAAAATGAACAAAAAACCACGAAATAAGTCATTAGGTTCAGTGTTGTGAGGAAAATGCAGTGGGCTTAGCTCAGCTGTTGGCACCAATATGCAGTCTGTCATTAAAAGCAGATATTTTACTGGAGATAGAGAATTCCACTAGTCTTGTATATATTTTTAAAGGCTCTAGGGTGATCAAGAAAATTAAAAATGACTATGTCAGACAAACTGCTTGAAACAACAATAATAAATAAAATAAAATGCCAGGACTATAATATCATGCTACAATAGTGTATAGTTAACACTACTTCTGTAAAGAAAGATTACATTTCATTCAACTTTTTTAGTATGTGTCAGTACAGCAGAGTGAAAGAGAAACCACAGCATCATTTTTTTAGACTTGCAATAGTAATTTTCCAAATCTCACTTGAAAACATACAAAAAAGACTAAAAGCACAAATTGACATTGCAGAATGAATTTCAGAACTACTGCCCCTAGCTGCTTCGATCCCCTTACACACAGTTCACCTTTCTCTCCATGGTACCAGTGCAATTGCCTGGGTGGCTATAGGTTAAAAGTCAGTTAAGAAGTAATTATGAGGTGAGAGACAAATATTACTCTGGATCAAAATCTGCCTATCAGACAGAAACCAGAGAGAAATATACTGCCAGCTTTTATCGTAGCTAATGCACTTAAGGGTTTAATATTATATGCTGTACAGTATGTCTATTAAATACATGGAAGAGTCAGCACTGAGGCAGCAGCTCTCGAGTATGATGCTAGGTGTTGTGGGTTAGCAGAATTCACACAGGACTATGTGAATTTCAGATTTGAGACGGACAAAAGCAAACTGAATAAACAGGTAGTACCACCTCAAATTTCAGTCTTGATAAATGCTATGTATTCATCAGAGGTAAATTTGAATGACACTTAACTCACAAAGCATTCAAAATTGAACTCTGCACTGAGAAAGGAATGCAGGTTTCACTGTAAACAATGCACCAGTGACCTGTTCAGCGTCCATCTGATGTTGAAATAAAACCAAACAGAATGCTAAGGGGGTTAAAGAATGGAGTAGAACACATCAATTTTTAAAAATCCCGTTGTAGAAAAACTGAGGCATGTTAAAGGAATAAACAGTATTAAATAAAATGAAGAAAGGTGATCCAGAATTTCTAATACTAAAAGACTCAAGGGATGTTCAAGAAAGGTGAAAGGCGGCAAATTTGGTTTGTTTACCCAAGTGGGTTTTGGAACCCACTGACACCAAAAAAGGAGGATCGTTCTGTCAGTGAATAAATGAGATGCTGCATGGAACTAAAGGAGAATTGAAATAATGCCAATATTTGTTTTTTTATAATAATTAATGATAGGAGTTTTTGAAAGGCATGTCGAACATCATGTTTCCAGTTTAAGACAATCTCTGTTATGAGTCAGGCTGAGTCCATCATGGCGGGAAGCTTTATTCTATTTTTAACTCGGGGTGGCATTACACACACTTTTCTTAGATAATTTGAGATGATCCCTCAATTGGATAATCAATAGATGATGCAATACAAGAGTTTCAGTGTCCTGATGTTAGGCTCTGTATCTCTTCTTGTGTAGGCTTTCTTTGGAGAATTTGCAATAGTGGTGGATTCCCCAGCTTGTCCATGACTCCCAAGAGGGTAATGCTTTGTGTCATTGAAGGCATTTCATAAAAGTTGCACTCCGTGATATGCAGAATATGTGTGTGCTCTGAATACGATTTTGATATTATCTCCTCTGCGTAGTGTAAGTTTTGCTAGTTCCACTGAAGTGAGGACCCTGTGCTGTCAAAGAGAGACGTTGACACTGAGATAAAACGCATTGGATAGTTGAGAGTTCTACGTGAAAATGTAGCAAGACTGCCTTTACTTACTTTTAACGTTCAGCATGCATGATCCCAAAACTAGCACTGGAAGCCTTAACGAAAGGAATGAAGCCATAAGGCAGAGTTAGATTTTAAGAAGGTATTACCAATGAGTATTCCAGTAGGGTGAGGTAGCCTGAGGGAGATAATGAAGACTAGACTTTGGAAGGAACCAGTCTTAGAGATTACATCGAAAAAGATATTGCGTGTTGCTGACTTTGCATTCTTCCTTGCTTGGGTTTTAGATTTAAAAGAGGACTGTAAAGTCCTTATCACGTCTTACCATTTGCGTCATACTTGATTCACTGCTTCCTGTTTGCCAAGTTCAACTCAACATCTACCTTTTGCATGAAGATACTCTAGATGTCTTCTAAATATCTGCTACACTTTTGAGTGCCATGCAGATTACAGCAATATAGAGTTTAACAAAATGATTTATATATGACACAGGGAAAATAAAAATAGAACTGTTTATAACAGAATTTTATGCATCTGCATTGAAGAAAACACAGAGCCAGATTCTGTTACCTTTACTCATAAGAAGTGAGAATTTTTCTAATTCGGAATTGTATTGTGTATTAGCAATACAGCGTATTGCTATCGAACTAATATTCTGGTGGGACTGGGCACCAGATCACCTTCTCTGACTTAGCACTCACACAAAGTACCATGGCCAGAATTTTCCAAAGAACCTGGTTCCTGCAGTTAGCTCTAGATATATTTTGATTAAAGGTTATCACCTTTTCTGGCAGCAATACAAATTGCCACATTTTCCTGGCATTCTTCCTGGTAAGGAGTTTTGAAGATGTAGGCCAAAAATGTGACTGTGGGCACTCAAGTACCCACCATCTTAGAACATCCTGGTTACGATTGAGAAGACATATTGGAAATGTTTTCATTGTACTTTTCAGAAAAAATCTCTGCATGTAAATTGATCACTAATTTGCTTTCTTTCCAAAAAAAGGAAGTGAAGAAACAAGTAAAATATAATTGGTGCTTTCAAAATCCTCTGTGAAACCCAGACAGTGAGATAAAAATGTGGTCTTAAAATATTACACTTCATTTAGCTTTTACTCTTCCTTCTTCCTTCCAAAAAAAGCTATAGCAGGAAAGTGATCCATAAATCCCTGTGTCCACTTTATGGCATGGTGCCTCAAATGATGAATGCTGTCACGTTTTGATTAAAAAAAAATGGAAGTCCATAAAAAAAATAAAATCAGTTTAGTGAATTGAATGTTGCTTCCTTAACATTTTTCATCCTGAACTCATTTAGTAGAGGAAATGGATATTTCATCAGACAGGGATTTGACGTTCCATCTCATTATACAGTAAACAGTACAAACGATGTTATTTTTTTTAAATGGAGAAGCTGGAAGAGCTAAGACAGTAGCTGCTGTAAGGCACTGGTTATCTCATTTAAACAGATATTAAATGTGGGTGCCAGTGGTGTGATCATCAGCTGCTTCCCACTTAGTGAATAAATTGCTTAGAAGGAGTCTTTTTGCCTACCAGATGTGACCTAGATTTAGATTTCCAAAGGCAAAAAAAAAATAGTCTATTGTGTAAAAAACAATTGCGGGTAAAATGCATGGTAAATGAGCTTATCTCACTTTTCCAGGTGTTTAAGCTAATATGTTATGGAATTACAGCTTCATTTATGAAAAATAATTGAGGAATGTTCCAGCAAATCAAATTTGGATAAAGGCTTAGGATAGTTATTGTGTTGTTAGCAAGTTTCTAAATGGCAGAAAGAAAAGGGAGCCAGCACAGATAATAAAAATACAGAAATTTGTGAATCTGTGAAGAGGCTTTTATAAAAGGGTCAGGGCTGGCAGTGATATCCCACCTGTGTTGCGGTCTTGCAAAACGTCATGGAACAATGTGAAGAATTATATTCCTGTCAATGCATACGAAAGCAGGATTTTTTCTTGAAAGATCAAGCATTGATATCTGTTGGCCCTGGATAAGACTAATGACATTGGTAGGTTAAATGTATAAACATCGAACGAATAACATCCTTATTGTTTTTCTCTCTCCTCTTTTCCTTATACGGATTCCATAGGGGCTGCCACTCGAAAACCGGACCCAGAGCCTGAGAAGCAGACTGACCATACTGTTAAAATTGCTGGAGTCATTGCAGGAATCTTGCTGTTCGTCATTATATTTCTGGGGGTCGTACTGGTCATGAAGAAAAGGTGAGCAATTAGTAGATGTTTTCTACGTACATATTCATGTCACAGCATCTCCTACAGCAGTTCTCAGTTTGATATTGGCAAAAGTATCCAGCCACCTTCATGGCCTTTGCCACAGAGTTTAGGAAGTACTGCTCCCTCCCACCCCCAAAGCTTTGTGGGGTTTTTATAAAACCACAGTGTCTGTTACATCCCACAGCATTTTCTATGAATTAATGTTTGTAGCTTTGTTATAGAAGAAAAACAACTCAAGGTTAATGATTCTAGCACTTTATGCATTAGTACTGCATGATGGACTCTAATAATGGAACAGTATCTCCACCCTGAAAGTGTGAGTCTCCACTCTGTTCAACAGATCAGCTGAAAGTTGCATGTAGTTTCATTCTTGAACGTAAAAGAAATCCTCAGTGAAACAGGAACTACAGCTAAGGTAATTTGTGCTAAGAATGGGGTCTATATTGTTCTGCATAAACTCCATTCCCTGAAAACAAATGAAAATGTTACAATGGTGCTGAATGTTTCCGAGTGCTGGTTCAACACACACACACATTGAGATTGCTTTGCTTTGAATTAGAAGTATAAGGCTTTTAAACCTGGTTGCCTTTCTCAACACTATAGAAGGAAAAATAATAAAGGGAAAAATATCTCATAGCTAGGGAGGTGGTATGGGTAAGAAAAAAATCTCTGTGATGATAGAAGCTAAGTCTAGATTGGGAGAAATTCATTAGCAAATAGAATTAAGGTTTTAGGTTGTATCCTGAGCGATGTGAGATTTGCAGCTGTAAAGCTGGGGTTGGGAGTGCGTGAGAGCTGTGTAAAGGGGCTGAGTCATGAATGTCCTTCCATGTCTGCCGTAGTCTTCTTACTGTCCCATAACCCCTCACCTCCTTGCCATTCACCCTGTATCTTCCTTCGAGAGCAATCTTGGTCTGATTTTGCTCATCCCAACACTATGTGATTTAATTGTACGTTAACTAGTTTGGCAGGTCTGAGATAGACAAAACCCCTGAGCTGCCTGAAATTCTTCCAGAATTTGAACAGTGGCAGTGCACAGCTAAAGAGGCAGCTGCCTGGCAGTGCCTCAGGGCAGGCAACAGAAGTAGCTGCTTTTCACTCTCCTTGAAGACGGAAGGAGGGCCATGAGTTAGAAGGGCTCTGTGCAGAGAAAGGTGAGTTGTGGCCAGGGCTGAGGGCTAGGCCACAACAAGAGGTAGGTAAAGCAGTCAAAAGCTGCCATACAGAAGAGATTGAGACTTAAGCCCCAGGGTAAGTCTGGCTGGGGCAACGAAATTGACCCAGTGACCAAATCTTCTCAATAAAGTACAGTGTAGCAGAGTTAAAATCTGTTCTGACTTTGCAGTACTTTTTTCTTCCCACTTCTGATTTGTTGCATCATTTATACCTTCAATTTTAACAGTTGAACTCCCAAACTCCTCCCTAGGGCCAGACACAGCACTTGGCACGCAGGGGTGAAGGCTTCTCGCATTGTCTGGCCAATCCTTCTTCACACAATTCCTGACTGGCATTCATCACTCTCTCTCTTCCAATCTGAGCCTCTCCTTAAGCGTTTGCACCAAAGGTAGAATATATTCATGCAAGGGAGACAAGTTCTTCTTGATCTTGAAGGGAGAGCATTGCAAAATGATCCAATGATTCGAAGTAAATAAGGTGTCAGGGTCTCTGGCTAAATGGATGCTGTACCAGCTCTTGCTTCGTTCTCTAGGGAAAAGCTCTTTGATAATCTAATTGTCAGAGGCAGAAAGGCTCGAATCCTAAGTGTTTGCATGTTAATGCAGAAGGATACTTGATTCCTTCTGTCTACCACAGCACAGTAATTATTATTCATAGTAATTCTGTTGTTAGAAGAAAAGTGCATTATGTGAGCTTCTTTGGGGTTTGGAATAAATCTGCTTGTGGCAGAGATGAAACTATTGAAAGTACAAGTCCAGGAACTCTGTTACCAAATACATACAATTGCATTGTGTAGTACAGAAAGAATGATACCAATAACTTAAACATATCCCAGAATGATGCTGCAGCCTTGAACAAAACAAACTGTGAAATGAGTTGAAGTGAATATTAAAAAGTAAGAATGGTTCATCTGTGTAACAGGATGCGACTAGGCTTTAATGAGAGTTTCAGGAGGTAGGTATATTGTGTCCCAGACCTCTAAAGCAGATGCTGTGGCATAGAAGGTCTTGAATACAATTACACTCATGACTTAAGCAAAAGATGAACCGATTATTCAATAGATTGTTACTGGTGCATTAATTCACTACGCTGCTGAGAGCCCCTATGGTTTCACCTTGGTTCAGTTACTGTGTATACATTATGCATTTGAAGAAAATGTATAAATCATTCTGCAAGCTTAGTATAACTGTAGTGTTTTTGTAGTTTTATGATGCTTTAGGTGCTACTTTGTGAAACAATCTTATCAAGCTAGCGTGTCGTTTGACTACTGCACTTGATCATTTTATTTCATTTACTTTATCAGGAGTTTTACTGGAGTAAAGATTTGAGTGAAAAATAAAACAGCACCTTATAATTCAGTGACACCTTTCCCCTGAGAGCCACTTTCCTCTCTGCACTACTATGTGCAGGCTGTCTGGGCTACAGTGCTAGGTTTCACCATGCTGAGCCTACGTGCTCTGAAACTTGTCTTGCCTGGAACTGGCTGCAGCAATATCCCATTCACACTCCACTATCCCAAGGCGTATCCCAAGGCATATACTGTCTGTTATTCATTCTTTCACGGAAATGGGTCCTTGTAGACTTGCTCTCCAGATCTCACTAGTAGATTAAATTTACTCTGTCTCTGGGGCTTCACAGTGCTTAATTAACTTAATTGCAAACCATTTCTTTCCATTGTCAAGAGATTTGGAAAGCAGTTTTACTGTACGTGATAACCATGACTTTTTCCAACATATTCCTTTAATAGCCACCTCATTTCATCCAGCAACCATTCTTTGCTTGGATGGTGCCAGGCACCACAGACTTTCACAGATCAGCCTCTTTGACTTTTAATTCAGTAGCCAGGTAGGCAAGACCAACATTCAAAGCAGAGTTTTCAGTACAGTACACACATGTTTTGGATATGGTCACTATCAAAGCAGTAGGTAGAGAATTTCTGCAAATATCAATAGTCATTAGGCATCATTATTAATTTCACTGTATCATGGTCTTCTGAAGTAGTTATATTAGAAACTGGGTCACAGGGAGATTAGGTGGCCTAACTATTCAGTGTATGGTATGGACTCACTAGTGAGGGTAGGAACATCATGGACACTAAAACATTTTCTGTGTGGACGTTCAGTCTTTGACTAAAGTAAACCAGATTTGTATGCTTGTCACCCGGGTCAGGGGAAGACTGTTAGTGCTTTCCTGTTTTTCTCCCCACTTGGTTGTTCAGAGTTCTTTATCTGTTCTGTTCTATCTTGTCTTTATCCATTCAACCACATTCCTGCATACAGATGTCATGTAGCGTAGACTAGGAACATGCAAGCTATTCCTAATACCGATACGGTCATATCAATGAGATAATTCTTCTCTGTGAAGTCAGAATAATGCCAGTAGGCTTTCCTCTCCTCAGCTGTCCTCTGAGTCTCTCATGTAAGAGTTAACACAAAGTCAGCGGAAACCAATACATGTGTTTCCACAATATTGCTCCACAATAAAGTGGATTTTGAATCTGATCCTGAATATTAAATCTCAGGCAAGGCCCTTGATCTCTGCCAGTCTTTGTTATACCTGCATAGGACTTCATGAAAAATAAAAAATAAAACATGCAGCAAGTAAGTTCACCTTTTGATGAACTTAAAGCAGAGCAGTGAAAATGAGAGAACTGTTCCCACAACCTTTGGAAAAGCAATAGCAATTAAATCAAGACTTGGAAAAATCAGAACCTTACTGCTTTATTCTTTTCTCTTTTCCTTTTTTTTTTTCTTTTATATTCTATTTCAGCTAAGTTTAAAAAATCTGCAGAAGTTGAGAAATTAGATTTATTGGTCCAAGGTTTGCTTAAAAGTATGTATGTCTTTGGGGCATCTGTTTCTTTCGGGGCTGCCATCTCGCTGCTGCAGTGGGAGTGCAGTAAGGAAGCAGTTATTAAAACTTAATTACATTGGCCTCTGCTTCAGTTGTAGAATGGAGATTTTCTGATCATTGCATTTCTCTGCATAAAAAGGTTATTTTCTTTTGCCTATCTTTAGTTTCTTTTTTCAGCTGTCTCTATGCCTGAGCCTTCCAGTAGTTTCTAACATATGTAATTGTGGCATCTGTTTAACTCAGAGACCCTGGTTTTTGGCAGGGGATAAGGAAGGCTTTTGCACTCGGTGGAGCTGGGCTGGGAATGCATTGGTCCCATTCCCTGATAGAAAATCAGGCTGTTCAGTTATACACCTTTGCCAACAATGTCAAGCAGTTAGGATAGAAACTGGAGATAACAGGGCTGAAGGAAAACTCCAGTCTTCTCCCAGTGCTACCGCTGAACCTTGTTTTTCCCTCTAGGCCAGCTACAAAAGAGAGACGATGAAAGAAATCACTGTGATAATTACACAGTTCCAGAAGTTTTCCCTTCTAGTGGGACAATCCTCCTGCAGCCAGCTGCATTGGTTTTGATAAATTTTATAGTGGGGCCTTATTCTACAAGTGGTATTTATGAAATTCATTTATGTCTTCAGTCTTGAAGGATATAAAAGTGCTTTATATTATCACTGTACACGGAAACAGTTTATTGACGTAAAATAAACTCTCTAGTGGGAAGTGACTAAAGAGCCATGCACAGAAGAAAATTTGGCCAAGGTTGGCCAAAATCTTTGGGTCACTCTCTTTAACAGAAGACTTTTCATACATAGAGAGAGAGTAAGTTTGTATACATTATGTAGGAAGTAAAATGGAACTTGTTCATATTTCTTAAAAAAGCTAAATCTTTTCAATTATGAATGGTGCTTTTCCATGTGGCCTGAGGACTTGCAAGTCTAAAACCTTCTGTTTCTGTAGGTTTTTAATTTGTTCTTTTTACCTGTTTTTTTCAGTGTCTGGTATTCTTGCAAGTCAAAAACCACAGTGTTCTTTTTCAAGGACTTTCATATGGAAAATCTCACAACTCTAACAATATAAGAATAACCGGAGCTTGAGACTTCTAATTTTTCTCATCTTATACAATTTTTTAATGGGGAATTTACACAAATGAAAGCTCCTGGATTTTCAGCATTTTTTTCATAAGGAATAATTTATCTCTATAACATACTTGGCAGAATTGGGCATATAAGTACCAGCAGTGCTTCACTGATTAATTGTATTTATTGCTGTTTGTCAAATTATTATACATCTTTTAGAAGTATGAGAACATTTGTACTAATTGCATTAAATCTCTGTCATGGCAACATATGGCAAGAAACAGGGTTGGCGGTGTCATGAGATTCTCAGTGAAAGTGAGAGAACGAGTAATTCTGAAAAGAAGGGCAGGGGGAGATATGATTATGACTGGACCAGAAAACAATCCCTTGCTAACAGAGCACGTAAGTTGGTCTGCTTTGATAGGACCTAATCCTGTGCTCCTTACTGAAGGCAATGGGGTATGTGCTGGTGGAAGAAGCGCATAACTGTTTTGCAGCTTTCCCCTTACTCTATTCTTAGATATCTTTTAAAACTCAACTTTAACAGGTGTGCATTTTTGCAGATGTGCCATGTGATTAAATATTCAGTATCTAGCCTCTTGTGTTTGAACAATACTGTGTGCATCAGAAAAATGGGAATAAAAACTGGGAAATATTTCTAACGGCATCTTCACACAAAGAAGATCAGAGAGAAAAGTTGATGAAAGCCTAGTTTTCAAAGGGATGCCTGAAGCATGTAGCTAGAGGCAAGTTAACGTTAGTTATAGTCCTTTGCAAGGCCTGTTTACATGTTTCCTCTGTAGTCGAAGGGCTGTATGCATGTGCTGTAAAAATTACAAGTGCCTACATGGTTCCTTTCAGTCTTTTATCTTACCAACATGTGAATGCTACTTGACATTATGCTCAGAGATGTTTTAAGATCTCCAGCCTCTTTTTAATTGCAGTCAACCTATGGAATTCATTGAGGTTGGAACTTGCCGCTTTTGGAGAGTTGCAGTCCTGCTTATAGTGGGCTCATAACTGAGGGAGGGAGAGATGTAAAGCAGGAGAGCATAGCTGGAGGGCTTCTATACTTCGTGCTCACGCAGAGCATGTCTGGGTGGAGGATCTGGCTGTGCAAGAGGTGATGCAGGAAAGACTGACTGGGTCCATATTTCTCAAGATGGTGGTGCTAGGTCTCCAACTCATTCTTTGTAACATTCATGTGGGCAGAAATAACAGGGATACAGGATCAGTTCTTATTTTTTCCTCTGCCATATGGGGAAATACCACCAAAATAATTTTAGCCAGAAAGGATAGCCTTTTTATTTGCGTGGCAAGAAGTATTTTTTTTCTTCAGAATTTAAATGGTCATTAAAAAAGCTGAGATATTAAAAAAGCTGTAGCCATTGATTTTTCCCCTCTGGAAACACATTCTTCTCCTGTCAATGGCAGAACTGATTTCTTTAAGTAAAGAAAAGGATATTGAAAGATTCTACAGTGCTATGACAGGAGGAGAAGCTACTTAATACATGCTCTGAAATTCTGCATTGTTAAACTTCCAACACCATGTTAGAAGTTCCATATCCTTATTCCTAATGCAGTTGAGGTGTAATCAGAGGTGTTTTATCACTTTAATTGGGAGTGTTTGTGTGTGTAGTGTATGCAGAGATAAATATATATTAAATATCTAACATTGCTTAGATAGTAGGTGTACTTTAAGGTGGTTTGATTTAACAGTTGGAGATGCATTATATATATTGTATTGCTTAAAGTTTTATGGCGATTGGATATGTCATCTGTCTGTTCCAGACACATTGCATGACATGCCCAGATATGCATTCTTGCTACCTTTCATTTTTGTCACCAGTTCTGGTCTCAGTTTCATCTTGATTTTTCATACATTAATATTTGGCTTTTCTTTCCTTCCATTTCATCTTTTCCACCACTGCCTAATCCTTCCACCATCATGGCAGAAGAAGCTATCACTCCTACACTTATTACCTGTAAGTAACTTCTTTGTCATCAGAGACACACTTTCTGCCATGTTGTTCCATGCATAAGTAGTGAATATTAATACTGAAAGTTCCTTTCTAAAAACAAACTTTGTAAAAGTTATACCAAGATAAAAACAGCATGGTCAATAATGTAATGAAATATTTAGCTTTATAGCAGTCTCTTATGCCTCATACTGTGCATTAGAGTCCTTTGAATATCATTATGTAACGAATTTTCTTAATTGAAAAGTAGTGGGTATAAATATCACTACCATGTCTATGAGAAATTTTCATGCCTAAGTAACTATTTTTAGAATTTATTTAGTGGTTTCTTTCACATTTGTTGTGTTGAAAAGATAGCATTGATTAGGCATGTACAAGCATTTCCATTTGTTGCTGTGTACATATTATTACTTTTTCATGAATAACGATCATGCATAAACGTCATGAGTTACCATTACTGGAGTGAATTTCAAAGGAGAGAGCACTAAAAAATGAGGGCAAGACGAAGCATAACTTTGAGTAAGGAATAACTTTTCATTTTGTTCCCTGCTGTCAGCAGGTGATGAATGAGAAGGGTTCTTCTGTGAATTTGGCAAATCCCTTTCTGAGGCTATTCACCTTTTCTCACTTTCCAGGTACAAGGAGCGCATGATAGTTTTTGGATTAGCAAAATATTGGGAGTCTTGCTTAGTTGCAAAATGAGATGCATTTAAGCTTGTTTAATCTTGTTGGCCAGCAGCAAAAATCAGCTGTCCAGTAGCTATCCATCTTCTTTAAAGCTCATGTTTAAAAGTCATGGGAAACTAGGAGATATTTTTATATAGTTACAGAAGATGGGGTGTTACTTGCATGAGACAGACTGTAGTACCAGTTTTCAGGTACATATGGTAGTAGCACGCTCTTGAAAGGAACACATTTCAGTAATGTTTTTATTTAAACACAATATTGTTTCTCATGTTCCTTTTTAGTTGCTCTTCAAACTTTTTAAATGAATATTTTTTCAATTACTATTTTGAAAAATTATTCATTTATAGAATTTATGGAAAAATTAGTAAATGTTTTCTAACTTGAAAACTTGGTAAGCAGAACCATGCTTCAAATGAATTAAAGCAACAAAAATTTAAACCTTTTAGTTGAAATTCCCTAAGACTTCTGAATATATTGAAAACTGCTCATTTACTTAGTAATTCAGATTTCATATTACATTATTTGACACTTTACATATAGTGCAGTTTTTTAAACTGTTCTTTAAAGCACTGTATTAATATGAAGGTCAGAAAAAATTCTCTCTTCCACAGATACAGTATTTCAAAATTTGTTTCTGTTCCTGAGATGAAAAGACCAGATTTTCCATTAAATAGGTCTTAAAAAAAAAAATCAGTTCGGGACCATTTAAATGTCATTTTTAAAATGTCAAAAGAGTATAATATAGGAAGTCATATATTATATTGTTGCCATAATAAGTAAATATATTTAAATTAATATTTTAATATGATTCATGTCTCAAGGCTAAGTCAAAAAACAAAATTGAAACAAATGGAACATTAAATGAAATACTGTTTCATTATTCAAAGAAATTGGATTATATCTTTTTTTCCTCTTTTTCCACTGACAATGGAAAATAATGAGAATTGCAATGTTTCTGTAAGTTTTACAAGCAGGTTTTGTCCCCAGTTTTGCAATCACAGAGACTGTTAATAGTGGATGGAATAGTGCTTCTCTTGATTATTTGGAATACTCTTACAGCAACTTCAAGAAAAGATCTGTCTTTTTGTTAGTGTGATACAAATTCAGTAACTTTGTAGTTTGGGTACGTTAAGTCTTCCAAAAGAAATGGTGTGATCTTGACCTTGTATTGTTTTGCTCCCTGTCTGGCAAAAGAAGGGAAGTAAGAGCCCTGAGAAGAGCAGACAAGATCAACCCCCAATAGGAGGAAATATTTTGCACCAAATTCTCCACCTGTTTACGCACCACGCAATTTCACTGAAATTGGTGGAAATCTTATATGAATGCAGAATTCATTACAGTTTTATTTTTAGCTGAGGAAGTTGGTATGGATTATAAACTGTTCGTATTTTGAGAAACATAATTTGAAGTACTTTGCCATTGCTAATTTACCACTTCTATACTGAGTATCATATTCAAATTTACTGATTAGTCATTGTAAATGCAAGCTGTAACATCCAAGTGAGCATCTATGCACTGAAATAGTTACTATTGTCTTGTGTGCTGCTTTCCTTATGTGCCGTGGGCTCCTTTTCCCTAGTAGACTGCAATCTCTGCCACTTCTAGATCCATCCTAAATTAAAATTAAAAAAGAAAAAATTGGCAGATGCCTAGAGCTGCTGATGAATCATCAGAGATGGACCTACAGCTGTGCATATTTGGCAGAGAATTATTTCCATTTTATCTTGTGTTTACTAGTTAGCCAGTCAAGAGACGTTACAGAAGAGAAGTTGAGTACTCCTATTGCGAATTGTACTTCTTTTTAATGGGCTTAAGTGCCTCTGCCAGCGCCTTTCCTCCCACTCTTGCTTTCCTGAGAACTGGTGCATTTTTTACCTTTCACCTCAGTCAGGCAGCAGATTTTTTTTTGTCTGGCTGTATTTAGTCCTGTATGAGTTCTTTTGTTCTTAAGATTAGAGCAAATTTAATAGTGCTCATTAACTCTGCAGCAGGTCTTTTGACTTTGCAGTTGATTCCAGGTGGGAAAAAAGAAGAATGGAGACGGTATTGTTAGTGACACTTGTAATGACTGGTGTTCTCAGCATGGCAGCCAGTGCTGGCATGACTGCTTTCTCCTGACACATTTTCTGATGGGCAAAACCCTTGCGACGTTGGCCAGAGAAGGAAAAGTACATTAATAGTTTATTGTGTAATTATGGTTAAATGAACTAGACAAGCCTGTTGTTCAGGTGACAACGAGCGCCACTGTGCTGACCGATGGCCATTGACTTTTAGATTTGAGATTTTCATTTTGATAAAGGTTCTGCCCTTGGAGATCATTAATCATTAGTCAGGAGCTAAGATAGCTAGATTCGTGCAAATTCAAGCATCAGACAAACAAAATGAGTTCTTGGACCATCTGAGTTTACTCGAGACACTGGCACCTGATAGAGAGTTCGGGGAATTCCATTTACCTCAAATTCTGGGGCAGATAGTTACAGATAGCAGCTGTTACAAGTTGCTTTCAAGAAAAGGCTTCATTACATTGCTATGAGCAAGATGTATGCCCAATTAAAATACAAAGTTGTGAAGGTCGCTTTTGATGTTGTCCCTCAGTTTGAACTTGATATCAAAATGGTATGTTGTTATTATTATTGAAATTGAATACTTACGCAACAACGGTGCTGCACAGCAGTTAGGTGCATAAAGTTATTCTATTTTTGTGCCTTTTCACAAGTCATTTCTACTTGCAAAAGGTGAAGTAGGGAAATAGGACACAATTACTGCCCAGTATTCTTATAAAATAGTAATCATGTTGAGATCTTAATAGTGTGAAATCTGACATTGTCTGTCCCAGCACTAATCATCTAGTTAGGTGACTTATGACAGAAGTGCATCACAGGTACATCCTCTGTATGGAAATCTCAATCCCGAAGCCTAATACAATGTTGAAACATTACTAAAACGGACTGTAGAGGACTAGAGGTCCTATTGGCTGGTACTTTGTATATGGCTCAAAGAGGACAAAATTCCTCCTACAAGAAAATTAATTCTGCAAACATTGAGCTTTTTCATGTAAACGTGAAAAAAAACATACCCTCCTTTTTAAGAGAATTTGATAGTTTGGGGCCCAGTTGAAGTACACTTTTCTTGTGTATCTGACTTAAGCTCAGGAGCCTGGGAGTCTGTTCTCAGTTCAGTTATCTCTGTGTCTCTTGCTTCGCTAGCAGATTTTTGGTGCTGGCTTCTGGAGCTCTGTACAGAGACTCAGTTTGTGGCTCATTTCCCCAATCCCATTGCAATTGACCTAGTACCTATGGCAGAAAGCACAAGTTTAGCAGATTTGCAAAATGACCCTAATAATCAGTGTCATAAAATTTCCAAAAGATCAATGGTGTCGAAACTCATAACAGTGATTTCTGGATAATTCCAGGAAATGTGCAGTCATCACGTTTAAAACTTCTCTAGTAATTTGAAAATAGTGAGAGAGGTTAGAAACAGTCCTGTATTCACAACTGCAGCTGCCCCTGGAACTAGAATAAGTTCGTCAGTTTGTGCCTTGCAGATGGAGGAGAGCACTGAACAGAAAAACATGAATGTGTTTGAACTGTTTGATGCATTTGATCTGTTAGACTACACTTGTGATGTCTTCTGAATCTTTAAATATGCATAGTTACATAGACTTGTATCATAGAATCATGTAACCCAAAATAAACGTGGATTTCTGTAATTGCCTTGTAAGCTAGACTTAAATGATTTGGGGATGTCCCATGAGTTTTGTTGCTTCTGGCGAAGTCTAGAATGCCAATATATTGAAATCTTTGGATAATATGTAGTGCCTAAAATAGCAAGGAGGGTGTTTTACTAAATCGCCATGGCTGAAAAATACATTTGTGGGCTATGTGCCATAAGCTTTGAGAACAGAGGTACGATATCTAGCTTTCATGCAGAGATACTAAGCAGTCTCAGAATTAGAATTTTATTTTTAATTAAAATACACCACATCATTGTTAAAAATCTATCTGAAGTCATTATTTGTTATACTGATTCCTTGTACCTTCTGATTCTTTTGGATCTGATTGTATTGCTTTATAGCCAAGGCTTACATTCCCATTTCTCTGTAGAAAAAATTGTAAATAATCCTTAACACTCAGACCACCAGTAAGTAAATATTTTTTTTATTATTATTTTATTAGCTCTTTCTGAAGTATATGAGCCCCCCAGAGCAGTGATCTGACTATACGGAATAGCTTTCTTGAGGTGCAACAGAGATCAGATCATTCATGTGGAGGAATAGCTCTGCTTTAGTTCATCTTTTCTGGGCATGTTTAGATACTCAC